AAAGTTGGTACTATCGTCCAGTTATCCCAGGAAAAAAATGTGTCTACAAGTCTGAGAGACTGGAATGCTGATGACTCAGACAGTCAAGGTGCAAGCTGATGATGTGCAAAGTAGTCTCCCAGGTGCTGAGGATGTGCTTAGCCACCACCTCAGACTGGGTGTTGAACAAGATAAGGAGAGAGGCAAACTGTGCAAGGTGGAGTAGGTTTCTTTGTCCTTATACAAATGACTCAACTGTGATAACTCCCCTTCAGGGAAGCAATGGGGCAATTCACACATAGCCTGAAGATATTCACCTTTCCTTTTCTGGTTAACATATCTGGTTAACGTAAGCCCTTCCTGTTGTTCTTTAAGTCCCTTGCCAGGTTAAGTTCCAGCTTCATCTTGGACTTCCTCACCATATCCCTACCAAACTTCATCTCTATACTCTTCCCAGGTCATCTGCCCTAGCTTCAGCTGCCTGTGCATTTGCTTCTTTCCTCTTAGTTTGACCAGCAGTTCCCTACTCGTGCCGGTCTTTTGTCTTTTTTGCCGGATTTCTTGTTCCTGGGTATTGTCAGATCTTGCATTTAGTGAAAGACTTCCTTAAAAATTTGTCAACTCTGTTCTGCTCCCTTGTCTCCGAAGTCAGTCTCCCAGGGAATGCTGTTGACTATCTCCCCAAAGGGCTGGAAGTTTGCTTTCTTAAAGTTTAGAGGCCTAACTTTTTTCCTTACCTCACTCATATCCCTGAAAGACAATGATGTATCACACAGTATCCTTCTACTGCAAGTAATAAACAAATAATAAGTAATAAAATAAATCTGTGAGATCCGATGAGATGCATCCTACAGTCCTGAGGGAATTGGCTGATGTAATTGCCAAGTCACTCTCCATGACAACTGAAAAGTCTTGGCAGCCAGGTGTAGACTAGACCCATCTTTAAAAAGGGAAGAAAGTAGGACCCTGGGAGCTACAGACCTCTCAACTTCCGCTCTGTTCCTGGGAAGATCATGGAACAGATCCTCCTAGAAGCTCTGCTTCTGCACATGGAGGACAGTGAGGGGATTTGAGACAGCCAGCACAACTTCACTAGAGGCGAGTCCTGCCTGAACAACTGAGTGGCCTTTTCTAATGGAGTGACTACAACAGTGGACAAGGGAATGGCTAGAGATGTCTTTTATGTGGACTTCTGTAAAGCCTTTGACACAGTCACTAACATTCTTCTCTCTAAATTGGAGAGAGACGGATTCAATGTGTGGACTGTTAGATGGATAAGAAAGTGGTTGGATGGTGGCATCCAGAGGGTAGGTGTCAATTGCTCAGAGTCCCAGTAGACATCAGCAACAAGTGCTGTCCCTCAGGGGTCTGTATTGGGACCAGTTTTATTTAATATTTTTCTAGTTAGAGCAGCCGGGACCAGTTCATCACTGTGTGGGTGTAACCCAAACTGTGTATTCTACACTCTCTATATCATTTCTCAGGAACTGTTAACAATGGACCATTTGCAGCAACTGCCCAGAGCACACCTGACCCCTCAGGCTATAAGCTGGGTGTTAAGAAGCCTGTGAGACAGGAGGATGTTCCTATCCTCACACTGATGACTCAGGTGTGATAACTGCCCTCCAGGGAGTCATTAGCACCTCCACACCCAGCCTGAGGGGTCATGTCTGCTAATGGGCCATCAAGGATTCCAAAAATATCACACGACTCACAATCACCCATTGTGGAACTCCCCACCCTGGGGGAGGTACTGGGCATTCCTACTCGAACCTGAGTGTATATAATCTTGTGGTCTTGGGACTTCTAGGCCCACTCATCAGATTCAGAGGAGGACCAGAACCTCGACCAGACTGCAACCACCACTCTCGACCAGACTGCGACCAGCATTCCCACCAACAGGTTTTCCTTTCCTTTTACTTTGGACTCAGGGGGACCATGTGGGGCTCAGCACAGGGGCCAACGAACACCACTCTGTTCATGCCCCAAGAGTGCTGGTTTATACATCTGGGTTTAATGGGTTAAAACCAATTGTTTGTTTGTATAATCATATTTATTGTATTATTGTTATTAAATTGTAACTCTGACTTATAATCTCTTTTGAGTTGGGTTCATTTCTCATGCCGGTTTACCTTTAAACCAGCACAAATATCTTCATTAAAGATATAGACAAGGAGATCGAGTGTACCCTCAGCAAATTTGCAGATGACACCAAGTTGAGTAGCGCAGTTGAGAAACCTGAAGGACAAGATGCCATCTGGAGGGACTTGGACAAGCTTGAGAAGTGGGTCTGTGGAAATCTTACGGAGTTTTACAAACCCAAGTGCAAACTGCTGCACCTCGGTCAGGGCAACTCCCGTATCAATACAAGCTGGGGGATGAACCGATGGAGAGCAGCCCTGAAGAGAAGCATTTGGGGGTGGATGAGAGGCTAGACACGAGCCAGCAATGTGCACTTGCAGCCCAGAAAGCCAATCATGTCCTGGGCTGCATCAAAAGCACCATGGCCAGCTGGTTGAGGGAGGTGATTCTGCTCCTTTACTCCATTCTTGTGAGACCCCATCTGGAGCACTGCATCCAGGCTTGAGGTTCCCAACTCAGAAAGGATATCCAACTGTTAGAGCGAGTCCAGAGGAGGGCCACTAAGTTGATCGGGGGCATGGAGCACCTCTCCTACGAGGAAAGGCTGAGAGAATTGGATTTGTTCAGCCTGGAGAACAGAAAAGCATCAAAGTGATCTAATTGCAGCCTTCCAGTACCTGGGGGGAGCCTACAAGAAAGATGGAGAGGGACTTTTTACGAGAGCATGTAGTGATATGATAAAGAGGAATGGTTTCAGATTGAAAGACAGTATCCTATCCCTGGAAGTGTTCAAGGCCAGGTTGGATGGGACTCTGAGCAACCCGGTCTAGTGGAAGGTGTCTGTGCCCATGGCAGGGTGCCTGGAACTAGATGATCTTTAAGGTCCCTTCCAATACATGCCATTTTATGATTCTATGGTTTCTTAAGAACAAAAAGGTGCTTTAAGCCTTGAAAGAGCAATATAGTACCATCAATCACATATTATACGTATCTTACATTATTCATAAACATCATACATAACTGTAATTGCACAGCAATATACAATTCATTTAACATCTCTTGCAAAACTGTTGAAGAGTTTAGTTAACACTGAAATCATTATCAACCATCTCCAGTTTTTAATACTTTTTTAAAATGATAATTCAAGAGAGTTTTCTGTTTTTAAAACAGTAATAGACTGTAGATCTGATGTATTTGGAGGCTAAAAGCTAAATAAATTGTTTTTTCTGAAAAGGATGTGGCTATTAACAAGTAAATACAACAAGAAAATTAATGTGCAAACAAACAAAAACACTTGCCAAATTGCTCAAGGGGAATAAAAGGGGTTTAGAACTTTGTTTCTGTGGGCCATTCACTGGCTTTCTATTCTAACTTCCGTCCTCAGTGTTTTCTTCCCTTGCTTCCCAGCCCTCCCTTCCTCCATCCTCCTCTCCCAAACTGAGGTACCAAGATGAGTTTCCATAAGAAAGCAGATACCCTGCTTCCTGCCAAAAGAGTGATTTAAAAGGATAAATGTCTACATTTATACATGCTTGTTGTTCTGGGAACACATATTTTACCAACATATATAAATGAATGGAAAGGTCGAGTGAATAATAGTATTGTGGGAAATATTAGTCTTCTTTTAATGTATAAATTTAAAACCAGATGACTTGTTCATTATTTCATAGCTGTATCTGAACTTCTCCTTGTCACTCCATGTCTTTGATGTTTGTCCAGGATTTTTTGTATTTTCGCCCAAAAGGAGAGAAGCAGAAACAAAATGTATGTTTCTGGCGAACACTTCTGTCACTGTCACCTCAAGCCTAAGAACCAGACAGGCCAGATGGCAAGGTTTTTAAATGTGTTGAGCTTGGTAGCAGTTTCCGTTGATTTCAAAGGGGTCTCTATATATTTAATGTGCTTCATACATTTGGGTCAAGACCTACACTAACAGCTTGAGCATGGAGATTTGCATATTCACAGTATAGACAATGAGACTGCGCAGCAATTATACAAATCCCTGTCCTCTGGATGGCTAACAACGATTGTAAGATTGTCTACATTGATTTTCACATTGTAAGACAATAAACTTGGTTTTTATATAGCAGCCAGAGTGCAGGAAAATACATAACAGGGGAGAAAATGTGCTGTTATATATTATGCTAACTGTACAGCAATCTGGAGAATACAATTCCATTCAGTATGACATCCAGTGAGCACTTAGTTTCATCATAGCCTATGAAGTATACTTTTTCCGTCACAAATCATATGAATTTTGGCAGAAAAAGAGGCATTAGCTTCCACCTCAAGCTGTCAGAGTTTGTTTTTTAAAAAAATCAAATAATTTCTTTCTATAAGTCATGAGGGACTGAAAACGTACAAGGCCAAGTCTGAGTTAACTTACACTCTTTTCAACCCCATTAACTTCAGTGGTATTGGGCAGGGTTGTGACTGAAAAGATCTCTTTTTCCAACACCTTTTTTGGGGGGTTGTTTGTTTTTTTGGGTTTTTTTGACTATGCATGTTCAGGTTTTTTAGGTCATATTTCTTTATCTGAGAAATATTTGAGAGATACAGTGTAATTAGGGACATAAATAGAAATGACCCAATTTGTTCCATGTAAATTCTGGCATTCAAAATAGTATCTCTAAACATGAGGCAACATTCTCTTTTAAAAATGGTTTCCTTGGATTACACTATGCTAACAGAACACTGTCAGAAGCAGGAATATTCTCAGACTCAGAAGTAGTCTTTTCAGGTATGTCTTGTTGAGAGACTCAAATAGAAGCAGAACGTTTTCTCTCATAGGGAAGCACATACAGTGAATCCAGTTCCTGATTCAATCCAGGCAACATTATGGAAAGCACATATCCAAATTTTCACAAACACTCCTAGGCTAGGATGCATGAGCTAACTGTGCTTGTCTGTCTCTGTTGTTCATGTTTGCTGTTTCCATAGGATTCTCCAGGAGCTGCATATGTCATTTAAACCACCATGGCTTCTATCTTGTCCTTCATTTTTTTGCTGTACCCCAGCACCTAGGAAGCAAAAGCAACAGTCTGAGACTGTTGATCCTATTGGAACAAGGCTTTAGACAAATTACATTCTGAACTGGTTTGACCACTACTTTTATCTTTATTATATAGAACATAAAAAAATATTTTGGGAGATTTTATTATTGCATCTCAGATTTCAAGTGTGTTCCAAGAAATTCTTTCTACTTTCAGTACTGTGTGAATTTCTTTACAAAGTAACCCTGCATCAACCTACACTGAAATTCCAAATTCACCTGTTCTTTCAGTTTCTCCTCTCCAGAATTTAAGAACCACAAATATAAATTGCTAAAATAAACCTTCACAAACTGCAGAGAAAAAGAAGGTTTAGCCAGGTTTGTGCAGCCATTTGCTTTTCAATTTATTAGCAATGTAAGAGACCTGTAAACCTACTACTACCTGTTCTTAACATTTGCAAAGAGACTTTTTTAATCCATTGTGGCAGTGAATGTTTATGTTTCTTCTCCTGTGCCTTGGAACCGGGTCCTTTGTAAATATAGTAAACAGAGTCCCTTTCCCTGAGGGTTTCTCTGAGTTTACAATCCTATCGTGTTCTTTACTCAGCACAGTCCTTTGGTTTAAATAATCTTTTTACAGCCACCAGTGTTTTGAAGGTTGTTGTGAGAACTTCATTTATCATATATCCTCTAACAAATACCTGCATAAATGACTTCATAATATCATTGAAATTAGCTAACAGCTAGTAGCATAAATAGATCAAATGGGGGATTAACAGAAAAAAAATTTGAGACCTAGGTTTTAGAACTGTTTAAGTCATTCCATTTGCTCAGGACAGGGGTACCTAAACATTCAATTCTTCCATGTAATGTGAGCAAGCATATCTAATATTTCTCGTGGAAGTTTATTACAGATCAAAGATTTTTCCTCATGATTGTATACATTTTTAGGAAGAGGCATTATATTCTGCTTCCAGAAATCACCCAGATATGGGAAAAAAAATAAGTACTCAAAATCTTACTTTTACAGGGTTTGGAGAAACTGGTTCAGGAGGACAACACTTTGAGCCTAGAAAAAAAAGTGAAAAACAGTTTTATGTGACCACTAAATCATACAGTAAATAAGCATGTAAATACAACAACCCAGAGAGGACATCGTGTATCTGTATTCTATTGTGGTACAAAACCCATGCAAGAGAAGATTATGTGAATAAAGAATGAAAATCTAAAAAAAAAAAAAAAAAAAGGAAAAAAAAAGGAAAAAAAAGGAAAAAAAGAAAAGAAAAATAGACAGCTTTTAAAAAATAAAAGCATTAATTATTTGAAAGAAACACTGAGAAACAAATTATTTATTGGGACAAAATTCCGCATAACATACTTTAAGTAACAACAAGTTACTGCCAAGAACATTTTGCATACCAGCAGGTGAGAAGTCTAATGAATGCAGGTAAAGAAACACATGCTTACCCATTTATTATCTTAATGAAGACATCACATAAGATAACTACATATGACCTGTAAGATAGTGTCCAAAAACACTGTGGAATCTTCTTAGATATTTTTGACGGTACAAGGTTCTGAGCAACCTGAACATGCCCTAAGCTGAAGATAGACAAGACTAGATGAACTTCAGTGATCCCTTCCAACCTAAGTATTTTTACATTTTGACCAACTGAAAAGTCAGGCTCAAAGAACGGTAGTAAATGGGGCAACTTCTGGTGTTCCCCAGGGCTCACTTCTCTTCAGTGTTTTCATCAATGACCTGGATAAAGTCACTGAGTGCACAATAAGTAAGTTGCAAATAATATTGAATTAAGAGAAGCCATTTATTACCTTGAGGGCAGAGAGGTCTTACAGAGAGATTTTGAGAGATTAGAACACTGGACAACCACCAGTTGTATCAAATTTGACAAGACAAATGCCAGATTCTGCATCTGGAGTGGTCTAATCCTGAATGTTGTATAGATTGAGGGATAAGAGACTGGAGGACATCTCTGTAGAAAGGGAACTGGGAGTTTTGAATTATGTTAAGCTATGTATGAGTCAAGAATGTTTCCTTACAGCCCAAAGGGTCAACCATATCCTGACACACATAGAGTAAAATATAGCTAAGTGCTCAAGAGAAGTGATTGTCTTGTTATACTCAGTACTGATGAGGCCTCTTGTGTGCAGTTTTGGGCTCCACAATGGAAAAAGGGTATAAAAATATGAGAATGTGTCCAAAAGATGGCAACAAAGATGATGAAAGGAGTAGAGGATGTGACTTACAACTAGTGGCTGAGACTACTATATTTGTTTATTTTAGAGAAGCAGAGGCATAGGGGTGACCTCATTGTTACATGAGGGGAAGCAGAGAGGGGGTGCCAATCTCTTTTTTCTGGTGTCTAGTGATAGGAAACAAGGGAATAGATTAAAGCTATGTCAGGAAGAGTCTAGATCAGATACTGAAAGAAAAAGTTCTTCATTGAGAAGATAGTCAAGCACTAAATCAGGCTCAACAGGGAAGTGCTCAGGGTGCCAAGCCTGTTGGTGTTCAAGAAGTGTTTGAACAACGCTTTTAAATATATGATTCATCTTTTCAGTTGCTCTGTGTGAAGTCATGAGTTGGACTTCAATGATCCTCATGGGTCCTTTCCAGCTAAGGGTATTCTGTGATTCTCCAGTTCTCTGATTCTGTTCTGTTTTCAGGCTGCTACTTCATACTGTTTTCCTGTGGAATATTTTGATTCATCTCAGTCTCTCACCATTCAGTAATTTCTGATGTGATAAATCCTATTTGCTTTAACCAAAACTAAACCAGCTTAAGCAACAGTACCACTCAGATTCTTATCTTATTCTATCTTCAGTGGTTATCAAATAATATTCCCTCTCATGGCCAGTCTTCGCGAACAAAGATTTGGGAAAGGTCTTTACCCATCAAGCCTGCGCAGTGGATTCTTTTTTTTAGGTGAGATACAGTGTGCGCTGAACTGAGCCCACCCTTTAATCCTGAGGTTCATCTGCCGGGGCCGAGTGAACTTGGACGGTGGCAGCGAGGTCCTCAGGACGTAGGTTTGTTTAGAGTGATCTTCTCTTAGATGGATGGCCTTACAGGGCTGACGAGCTCCATCTACCCGGGGAAGTCCCCTGACAGGGAATCGAACCCGGGCCACGGTGGTGAGAGCGCCGCATCCTAACCACTAGACCACCAGGGGCCCCTAATATTCCCTCTAATGTAATACTAAATGCAAAATTGAGACCTCTCTGAAAAGTGCTGGTATTAATTAATAGCTCTACAGTTTGCAGAGGGAAAATAGAGTGTTGTTCCTAAGTAAATTTCACCCAGTCAACATTACAGACAATTGGAAAACATCCTACTCCATTTTTACATCCCTTTCTTGACAGCAGAGAGCAGGCTTACCCTGAAGGACAGTGGTGAATCTGGGCTCCCATGGGCTCTGCTGATATACCTGCTCAGGCACACATTATCTAAACAAGGCCATGCTGTGTAGCTGAATCTGAAACTGAAGCCCTCCGGCTCCATCCTTCCTCCCCATGCAGCAGCTTTCCAGGAGCAAAAGAGAGTTTCTCCTGCATGCTGGTGTTAGGCTGAAGTTGAGAGCCTGCCCTGAGAGTCAGACAAGGAAAAGCAAAGCTTTGGCCACCTCAGCCTCTCCTTGTTGCTAAGGCTTCTTCAGTGATGCAGATACGTTACAGCTCACTTTGAGTCACTGGTTCCCAGGGAGAAATTGGTTGCCTGTTAAGACAGAAAATATAGAAATAACCTGATGTTCACTCTTCAGTTTTGGGCTGCACACCCATTCTCACTGTCAGAAAACTAAAATGAGAGTATCAGGGGTGGCTGGAAAGTACTCCGCAGCCCTGATATCGGGGTTTACCCAGGGATGTAAAAGCCATGACAAGTTTTTAGAACCTTGTGTTCTATCACAGGTTTAACATACCCTGACTTGTGTTCTCTCTTGTCCCTTTCTACAATGCCAGAGCCCCAACAGTAGGACTAGTAGTGCTATTTGCTTAGCAAATCCACAGGTTTTACCGGAAAAGTGAGTTTTGTAGGATAGTTTTCTCAAGTGGAGGTTCATGCAGACTTCAGATCTCTTGTGTCCTGTGTAGCTCATTAAAGATACTGAAAACATTTCAAAAGCTTCTGCTTTCTCCTGCAGAGGTGATGCTGGCGATACCCCTATGATTGTATACACTTGCGTAAATGTAAATGCTTCATTAATAACTATGGTATCAATATATGGGACTCAAGCAGTGTTCCTATCTTTTACAAGGGACATATATTATGACTTGTATTACCAAAAGATCATTGGAAAAACAGTTTTATGGAAATACTGAACCATGAATAAGCTGCTGTATTTCTCAAAAAGCTAAAGAGATCACCATTCTGTAGTATGCGTAGCACAAACAATTAAGTCTTTTATGCTTACAAAAGTCTTTGAGACTTTCAATAAGTAAGGAATTACAAAAATAAAACTGAGCACTTAGGGCATTGTATGATCACTCCATTAAAAAGTTATGATTTAAAATTTATTTTGTCCTTTGCCTGAATCTCACCTCCCCTCATTTGAACCACTCTTACATACATTTTGAATGCTCATAGTCTGCTCCTGTGCAACATGATACAAGTTAACATGAACCAGGCTGCCACAAATAAGAAGATCCATTTATTTAGGCTGGAAGTACATAAAATGAAGACTGAATTTTCCAGTCATTTGTACAAAACCATATATAATTACTGAGAAAAACTTGTTTTCATTCTTGAGGCTAAATTTATGTCACCGTAAGCATACACTAGGGCCACATTAGCCAAAAGAAATTGGTTAAAAAGAATAGAGAATTTAAGGGGGGGTTGAAATTTATTTCAATGAAATAAAACTTGCTGAAGACTCATCACATCATAAACATGTTACTATGTGCTTCAGATACCGATATTTAGAGACCTTCAGTTCTTTATATTACTTTAATTAGAAGCTTTTATATCATTCTACATCACTCTTTCAGCTAAATTCTGTCAACATCCACATTGATATGTATTGAATATGCATCTTATCTTTTTGCAGTTACTAGCAGAATACAGCTACATTATGAGTGCCATGCTAAAACACTCAGAGAGGCAGTTCACATGCTTTCGTTGCACTATATGATTTAACAGAAGTGTAGATATAGCTAAAATATAACTGAGTATACACAATCTGAATGTTTTTAATTACAATAGGAGCTAGAAATTTCTCAGTAGGTGTAAGATTTCACCTCACAGAAATTATATCTCCCACTTTATGAAACATAGTACTTTATGAAATGCCAGCATTAGAGTCTTAACCATCACTCTAGGAAAGAATGATGTAAACAATTTATACATGAAAGGTATGATCACCTTGTGTCTTAGATCAAAAAGATATGTCCTTCATAGTTTGAATATAAATACTAGCATGTTACACTATTTTATTAAAGGCTTCCATATTAAAGCCTTCCTAATTAAATTCACTTGCAATTATCTGTAGAGGTTTTCAACTATCATAGCAGTTCTAAGTTCAAAACAAATCAGGCATTGTTAAAGTGCAGTGGATATCAATACAACATAGAAGATCAGGAAACATGAACATATAATGCTCAGATTTCTAAATTCCATGCCACTCAACTAATAAGGCTGTTCTCCTTCTCCAGTACTGTCATGTGTGTGTTCCTAAGAACATCTTAGTCTTGTCTCAGGATGATGATGTCAGTACTCAGGCCAGGGCCTTGCTAATGAACTCGTTATTCTCTGCTGTCCTAACCCCTGAAGCAATTAACTCTGTATTTCATAAGATGTGCTGGAGCACCTCTTCAGCATGTTTTTTCCCTCTCTTTCTCACAGATGAGCCTGTCCTGCAAAGGTGTCTGAAATTCAGCTGAGGAAATTCCAGATGAAAACAAGAGTGACAGTGCTGTGCAGTGCCCATCGAGTGGATGAGATCAGCCTGGATGTGCTGTTCTGGTCTGTATAAACATGCAGTCCATGAGTGCCCGTGGCATTCACAGCAAGACGAGTGTAACATACCCAGGATGTGTCCAAAGCATGGTCTCATGGAGACTATGCAGAGGAAATGCCACTCCAATGCCACTCCAATGCCACTCATCCAGCATGCCCATTTGGTTGTCATGGACCCACAGTGAGCTGCATAATTCTGACCTTGTAAGGGAAAGCAATTACACAGGCCATCTTTGTATGCCTAGTAGCCATTTGCCCAGACTTCCTGGAGCAATGGTGCCCTGTTAGACTATTGCTTCCACTGAGTTGAAACACAAAAATTCTGGAAAATTTCTTCCTTTTTTCGTGAGGAACAATTTCCATTGTCTTCTAAAAATAGTTGCTTACTACAGTCAGGGTATGTTGAAAATTTTTGCTGTTAGAAAAACATCTCATCTATCTTTGTAAGCAGCTTCTCATCTATTTTTACTCACACTGTTCTTACTCTAATGAAAATAAATGGAGTATAACATTTGCCTTTTCTTTTTCTCATTCTGCATCTTACCCAAAGCAAACCCCAAGGTCTTAAATTTTTCAATTCAATATGAGCTTCCAGTCCTGTAACATCTGAATGTGCCTAAACCAATCACATGTACTGTCTTATACACAAAATGTGTGCGCACACATACAGAGAAAGGTTTTGTACTGAGGCAGAGGCTGCTTGATGGAAGGAATAACAGATCACAATAGGTCAAAGAACATTTGGCACCAATGCCCACATGCTTTAATAATGTGGGTATTTCCAAGTAATAATATGTTGAAGTTCATCCATGATAGTTTCTTTTTTTGAGTTCCTTGAGTTCTGTGAATTTTATGAGTTCCTTGTATGCTTATCATCCAAGTCTGTCCCTCAACACTGAAAATTCAAGTTTCTTCTGATGTTTCTTTCCTTAAGTAATTCTTTCTTAAACAATAACCGTGTTTCAGGTATCACTGTTGCCAAAATATGTGTGGTCATTACAAAGGACTGCAATAGAATTTCAAGTGTTTATTGCCAGCTGGAAGAAATTTTGTAATAACTTTACATACAGCATTCAAATGATCTTTAGGAGGTCCCCTACTTTCCTAACAACATCCTAGGGTGCATAATCCCTGCTTTATAAACTCACAACAGACGTTAAAAATCTGAAGCATCTGTAGGGAGTCACTTAGACTTTTGTGACCGGTTCTGGCTTCTTCACTTAAAAAAAATATACGTGTGAAAGTACCTATGAACAGATCGATAGATTTATACCTATATATTTACACATACACACACACAGGTATATATGCATTATTATTATTATTATGTGTACATTATATGTGTGTGTGTGTATATATTCACCCATAATAGGTGAATATATACACCCTATAGGGTGAATATTCACCGAAATAGGGCGAAAAAAGAACAGGAAAAAGCTACTATTTTTCTCATTCTAGTAAAATTAAGAATAACTCTGCAGAGATAGAGAAAATTTTCTTACAGTAAAAATAACACAGAAGACATTGCAAGTGATAGCTGTAGAATCTCCATCATTCTACATCTTCTAGATTTACTGGATGAAAATCTCCCAGGAGAGACAAACATCTCACTGACCTCCCTTGGGGTGGAGAATGGACTAGAACTTTATCTTTTAAATTATTTTTTGACAAAACTATTAAAGACAACAGTTTCACTAAGAAAATGGAGACATCTGAAATTATTTTCAGTTATTTTAATTATTCTGATACAGATCTTTAGAATTTATGTATTTCAATTTCACTTTACCAAAAAAAGAAATATGGTCTCATAGTTCGGAGCCTTTGCTAGAGCAAATTGCATGAATATACCAGTTGCTGTTCTTTTTCTTTCAGGTATATCTCTACAATGAAAAAAGAGTTGCAACTCCAAGTGTCTGCAGAATGCTTTTGCTTTGCGACTAGTAGAAAGAGGTACAACGTACTAGTACTTCACACAAAGTATGTTGTTCTTAGCAAAACCTAATTTTTTCTGCATCAGTGAAAACCCTTGCTTAAAGTATAAATGAAAAAGTAGAGTATCTGTAACATACAGTGAATTTATCATTTCCAGAAAAGTTTGACTTATTGCCAAGGTGCTATAGCACCAGGGATCCAAGCAAAGTCTTAGAGTATGAAAGGGTTGCTTAGTTTTCATTCTATTATCTAAATGTTTTCTACTGAGAATTTGTGATTTCATGTTCACTAAGGTATTCCAGATTCTCTCTGTTTATCTCTTTCTTTCAAGCAATCTTTAAAAATTGTATACTTATTTTATCATATCATCTCACTAATCATAAACAGATCTCAAAAGAGTTTTTTGTCTTTTTTTTTTTCCTTATGGGAATTGGAAATCTGTAACTACAAAGTTTAGTTCTCTGTAGCAGTAGGAGAAAGTCATTTGGCTAGGTTTTCACCAAATAGAATGTGTGTATTTACCAGTTTGCTGTCTTTAGGGTTGCGGTGAAT